TAACTGGGTCAAATGGTGGTTCCATTCCGAGTTTTCCAAGGAATCTCCACATTGCTTTCCAGAGTGATTGCACCAATTTGCAGTCCCACCAGCAATGTATGAGTGTACCTTTTCCCCCAAATCCTTGCCAGTATTTATTGTTATTTGTATTTTTAATAATTGCCATTCTGATTGGAGTGAGATGGAATCTCAGTGTAGTTTTAATTTGCATTTCTCTCACAGCTACAGATTTTGAACATTTTTTCATATGTTTGACTATATTTCTTCTTCTGTGAAGTGCCTGTTCAGTTCCTTTGCCCATTTATTGATTGGGTTATTTGTTTTTGTTGTTGTTGTTAAGTTTTTGAGTTCTTTGTATATCTCAGAGATTAATGCTTTGAGGTGCAGGTTGTGTGTGTGTAGTTTTTAAGCAGTGCTGAGGATTAAATCACACTGAGCCACACTCCCAGGCAAGTTTAAAATATTTCAAAAAGCACTAATTGTACACTACTAAATTTGAAAATCTCAAAAGGATAATGTTTCAGGAAAATGAAATTATCAAAATTGAATCTAGGTGTTAAAAAAAATTAAAAATCCTGAATAATAACTAAGGAAGAAAACAGTTGTCTAATAACTATTCCCTTCAAACAGCACCAAATATGTATCATTTTAAAGATGATATTATACCTTTGAGGAATAGACTTTTTTTTAATGGTAAGAAAGATGCACAGTTTCTCAGTTTATTTTCATAACTCAGGTGGTATCTGTCCAAAGCTGTCTGTACAAATAGTAATACCAATTAACTTCATCAACATGCACGCAAAATTCCAAATAACATATTAGTAAATTAATGGAAAATACTACACTATTACCAAAAATAAGTTCTTCTGGAAATGTCAGAATGGTATCATAATCAATCTATGACTAATACTAAGAGATTAAAAAAAACATGGTTACCTCACTAGATGCTAAAAATTCTTTTGATGGAAATTCAACATTTGATCCTGATAAAAAGTTAATATCCTAGTAATGGAAGGGTACCTCCTCCACATCTACTGAAATGAGTAATAGAACTTAAAACTGACATATTAGAGGAAGTTCATTAAGGAGAGAAAAAGATAAAGGTGATTCTCTTTATTGCTATTATTTAATATTGTTCTTGAAGTTCTATTCAAAGAAAGAAAATAGAAATGAGGGGCTGGGGTTGTGGCTCAGTGGTAGAGTGCTCACCTAGCATGTGCAAGGCACGGGATTCGATCCTCAGCACCACAAAAAAGTAAATAAATAAAAGGTATTGTGTCCAACTACAACTAAAAAAATATTTAAAAAAAGAAAATAGAAATGAGATATGGATATTAGAAACTCTTACAAAAAACTATTATTTTCTACAACCCCAAGCAAATAAAGCAAATCATCATCATCATCATCATCATCATGAGTTATACAAGTCAAATACAACCAACTACTTTCCTTCAAAACAGCAATAACCAGTTTGAAAAGACTGGGAAAAAGATACTAGTCACAATAACAATAAATTTAATATGCTAACTGGGAATAAACTAAACAAAAGTATTACTGGGACAAGTAGATACCCACTTGTGAAAACATAAAATCTGAGTCATATAACTTAAAGCATAAAAGCAAAAAAAGCAACAAAAAGAAATAGATGTGGATATTTTTTAAATCTTGGGCTATAAGGAGGTTTCTAAAACTTTAACATCAAAGGCAGTAACTATGAATAAAAAGATAGATGTGACTACATAAAAACTGAACTGTATTAAGAATTGCAGGGGTTGGGGATATGGCTCAAGTGGTAGCGTGCTCGCCTGGCATGCATGAGGCACTGAGTTCGATCCTCAGCACCACATAAAAATAAAGATATTGTATCCACCTAAAAAAACTAAAAATAAATAAATAAATATTTTAAAAAAGAATTTCAAAATATCACATATAAAGGAAAAATGACAAACAGGAGAAGAAGATATCAGTAATACATGACAGAGTTAATATACTTTGCATACAAATTGCTTTTATGATGGGGCCGAGGATGTGGCTCAGTGGCAAAACTTTTCTAGCATGTGTGAGGCCCTGGGTTCAATCCCCACCACCACCAAAAAAAAAAAAAAAAAAAAGAAAGAAAAAAGAACTTGGAGCCTTTATGAAGCCATTACAAAAAGATGAAGAGGGGGCTGGGGTTGCCTTTCAGAGGTAGAGCGCTCACCTAGTGTGCGTGAGGCACTGGGTTTGATCCTCATCACCACATAAACAAATAAAAATATTGTGTCCACCCAAAACTAAAAAATAAATATTAAGTAAAAAGATGAAGAGCTCAAAATCAAGGAGTGACACTAAAAAGAACAATTATAAAAGGATAAGAGGAAAAAATATCATCAACTCACTGGCAATCAAAGACATATAACATAACATTTTCTTACCTCCCACACTGGCAAGGATAAAAAGGAATAGTACTGCTGAGAGTATGAGAATACTTCCCTTTTCTGAAGGGAAATTGTGTAAAACACAACAAAAATATCAAAAATATAGATCATTTTTGGACATCAAAATTTGAATTTGATTATCTTAAAATACAGACACACATAAAATTTGGTTATTAGAAAAAGACTTTGGTCAAGTGTGGTGGCACATGCCTATAACCCCAGTGACTCAGGAGGCTGAAAGAGGGGAAACACAAGTTTGAGGTCAACCTCAGCAACTTAATAAGACCCTATTTCAAAATAGAAAATAAAAAGGGCTGGTGATATAGCTCACTGATAGAGCACTCCTGGGTTCAATCCTCAGTACTGAAGTAGAGGTGAATTTCACTACAAGGATATTTATCATCGAAACATTGTTTGTAACTATTCAAAATGAAGGATTGCCCAACTAAATGATAATTTCTTACTATGTAGTATACTGTAGCCATTAAAATTACATTACTATGAAAGGAAGACCTTGTCTATTAAGTGACATGGAGGTGGCAATCACAATTTTTGTCTTAAAAAGGCAAATTATATATATTTTACATGTAAATATATACATTTTTCTCCTCTGTAAAAAAAAGTGTAAAAGAACAAAAATGTTAATCATTTTATCTCTGGAAAATGGGATTATAGCATTGGATATATTACCTAACAAATAACGCCAACATTATTTGGCATTAAAAAAATATTCACTATCTCCATTCTATGAGGCAGGAATTTGGGAAGCAGATAAGCTGGTGGTTTTCCTCAAGTGTCCATCAAGATGTTGGCTAAGGTTTCCATTGTTGGCAGGCTACACTGAGCTGAAGGACCTGTTTCCAAGGAGCCCCTCACGTATCTGTGGACAAGAGGCCTGAGTTCCTTGCTGTATGGGCCTCCTGACAGGACTACTTCATGAGACAGCAGCTGGCTTCCCCCAGAGCAAGATACAATATCTTTTAGGACCTACCTTAGAAAGCCACACTGTTATCTGCTAAGTTCTACATTTTAAAAACAAGTCACTAAGTCCAATCAAGGGGAGGAGAATTAAGCTCTATTTCATGAAGGAAGGAGTGTCAATTTGTGGACTATTTTGAAATCCCAACAGGTAACCTGTGGCATATGCAAATACAAACGTTAATTTCCAAATACATATACAAATAATAGAAATGTTAATTTCACAAATACATATGTAAACACATACATACGGATACAAAGAGACAACTTAGAAAAAATAAAAATCTTCAATAAACATTATGTGCTTACCACAAACTGTAACAAATTCTAAGCTGGAATAACAGAAAAATGGCACCTGGAACAAGTTCTGAGATACTCTGTACCACCAAGACAACATCTGTCATGTCCTGTTCAGCTCTGAGTACCACAATCAGTTGTTTCCAAGTAGAAAATGAATGCACACTGGAGCTTACAACTTAGAAAAAATTACTTCAGAATGAGGAAAACTAAAGGTGTTCACAGCTTGAAAGAAAGTAGGCACATCATAACTTTCAACTGTATACAGGGTTGTCACATGGAAAAGACTTAAGAGTCAAAACTAAACCAACGAGTCAGAGTCATAGGGATTCAATGTGGCTCAATATAAGGAGAACTATCTAACAAGAGTTGGTAGAAACCTACATGAGACACTCAGGTGGCTATAGGAGTTGTTCATGGAGCCCGAGGGAGCACTGTGCTGCCACTCCCTGAACCACTCTAAAGTTCATATCCAAACAAGTCCCTCCCTTATTCACACTGACGTGGCTGGTGTTGAAAGCAACCCTACAGCCTTTGCCAATGCAGCATACCTAACTTAAGCTATGAGATGTAAGTGAAATACATGGTGGTTGGCATGGTACAGTGCCTGGCATACATGAATGTTAGCTATAAACTCTGGGTTGACTGAAAGAGTAACAGGAGCTGAACATGGTGATATGCCTGTAATCTCAAGGAGCTTGTGAAGATGAGGCAGGAGGATCACAAGTTCAAAGCCAGCCTCAACAACTTAGCAAGGCCCTCAGCAACTTAGTGAGACCCTGTCTCAAAATTCAAAAATATGAATAGGGCTGGGGATGTGGTTCAGTGGTTAAGTGCCCCTGGTTTCAATTCCTGTTTCCAAAACAAAACAAACAAAACACTGTGATAGGACGCTCTGTTAAGTTCTCTTTTAAAAAGTCCAACTTTTAAAACTTAATTAAAATAAAAAGGTTAAAAAAGTTATCATCAACTATTAATTCTGATGGTCAGTTTCAGTAATAATAATATAAATACTTAAGGGTAAGAATGTCAAAATTCATCTTCAAAGCCAAGATGGTTGGACATGCTTTGGGAAACCACAAAGAACAGAGGCAGGCATTGATACAGACATATAAAAGCCACAAAAATCAAAACTAAACATTTTTAAACAAGTCATATCCTCTTGGTGTATGTGGTCTGCTTTCTGGAATGAAACTATTTTAAAAAAGGAGACTCAAACTGGGCTATTTTAGCCCCTCAGAGCAAATTAAATTATTACAATTAAATTACTCACCCATGCCTGCCAACTACCCACAAATGAAAACTTACTTTTTGGGTGCCAGCAGCCTGGATATCCTGCCATGTTGCTACAGGTTCTGTAGCTACGTGCCACTCTGGGTATGTTTTCGTGAGTAACTTCACAAAGGTGGACTTTCCCACAGCTGCAATGCAAACAGCATGTATTGGGATGCTTTCTAAATCAGGCTGAAGAAGGCTGCTATGTTCTATCACAAATGCCCACCTCAAGGAAACAAGTTTTATCAATTTCAAAACTCAGCAGCCATACCCTTGTCTTTGAATTGATAATGGGCAAGGCCAGAGTCATCATAATGAACACAAATAACAGGAAGGAAAAAATCCCCTCAAGGTTTGATCTGTAATTTTAATGTCTCAATCTCCCAGAGGTAATGACTATTTAGTAATAGCTGAAAATTTAACAGATCCATCATAAATAGATGAAATCAGCTACACAAATTGTAAAGCTTCAGTCACAGTCTTATTTGCTCTATGACAGGCCAAGGGTAGGGGAAGGATAACCCATGCAGAGGGAGAGTATGAATGAAAGCCTGGAAGAGAGAGAGAGAAAAAAAAAAAAAAAAAAAAACTTGGCACATGACACAGGAAAAGAGAAGAATGAGGCTCTAAAGTCAGCATGGCTACAGTATGGGCAAATAAGGGAGAAAACTGGCTCAAGATGCAGGTGGCTGAGCAGGCAGTCCAGGGCCAAAGTCAACCAGGGCCTTGAAGCCATGGTAAGAAATTTGACTTCTATTCTAAAGGCAAAGGGAAGTCAGTGACAATGGGTTTTAAGCAGTAAAATTACATTTCTTCTAAAAATCCACTCCATCAGGTGTGTTAAAATGGGCTGAAGTAAAAGTAGGCAGATCAATCAGATGACGACAGTAGCCTGATCAGAGTAATAGCAAGGATATGGAAAGGTATCGGTTGCTTTGAGAAATATTTGAAGATAAATCCAATCTAGTACCACAATACCCAAGTGATCTTTTCCATTTACATCCATATCTGGCCCATACTTCTCCTGAGCTCCAGAGAGGCAAAGCCTTCCAGACATCTTCATTTGGACATCCCAGGAAAACCTCAAAGTCAATATATTCCCCAAATGAAGTCATCACCTTTCCCACTAAACTGAACTTCCTTCTGTATCCCATATCTCAGGATGTAACAACATCATCCACTCACTGTAAGAACTGCTTCTTCGGCCAAACTTCAAGTGGCCACTGAATCCTTCTTCATTTGCTCCTAACTTTCCCCCATGCTTTTTCTGTCCATTTGTACCTCCATGCACAAGATCAGGTTCTCATTATCACTTGCCTCTCCACCTCCAGCCCTGTTCTTTTCAACCCAATTTCTATGCTGCAGTCATACTGCACATGCAACAGATTCCCGTTGTCCTCAGAATAAAATCAAACCTGTTAACCTAGTCTATGAGAAACAACAGGGTTTGGTCCCTGCATATATTCCCTAGCCTCAGCTTTCCTGCACTCGTGCTGAACCATACTCCTTACAATTCCAATCACGCCATATTCTCTCCAGCAAATGCAATTTTGCATTGCCTTCTCATTTTCTGGAGCACCCCCTCTCTTTACATGGCCAACTCCTACTCCATCTATAAGGTTCTGCTCAGATACACCTTCTGTGAAGACTCTTCAGGGCCCTGACACCTCTAAAATGGATTAGTTAATCCTCCTCTGTGCTTGGCTGTATATTCTAGGTGAGACTCCATCACTGCAATTAAAATTGTGCTTCAAGTTAAAGATGGGGTTCTTCCAGGGTAGAAAGCAAAGTCCACCTAATGTCTTGACTAATGAATAAAACACACAAAATAATAATTGTGGTTTCCTCTGATACCTGCATTTGAACTCAAAACATATAAACTTCAGAATGTATTTAGAGCTTCATCTCCTCTACTGGAAATGGTCTTTCTCAAGTGAGTTCCACCAAAGGGAGCCAAGGAAAGAAGGGGACACCATTCCAGTCAATTGTATCAGCCATTGTGGTTACTTATCAGGAGTGCTATGTCTCAGCACAAGAGCCCACACATCCAATATGTGACATTTATTACACACCACTCCAACTCCTTTCTGAAAACACAGGATAAGAACAAACAACATGAATTTGTGAATTCTGTACAGTCACGCTCTTCTCAGTCCCCACCTCCACTCAATGTTTGTCTTTTCATTTTGTTCAGCCTCTGCTCTTCCCACACATCAGTGAATAAATGCTTTCCTCTGCTCTTCCAGGCCTGTGTCAAAATCCTTTCCCCTACCAAGCCTAAGGTCCCACTTCCTTCATGAAGTTCAGGACTTCTCTAGCTCACACCAAATTCCTACTACACTGATCAGCTACCAATTGGTTGTGTCTATGTATTTTCAGATATCTGCCTGCCCTGAGTCAGCCTTACCTTAAAATACAAGCCCAGTGGTCAATATTTAGATTGCAAGTTGTTCAATGCATTTAAAACATGGTCCTTGTTCAGTTGAAAAGTTATAGGCTGAAAAGCTACTTTAAATAATATGGAAAGATAAAGGTAGCTGACTTGTTTGTTAGGATTGAATGAGTGTTAGTATTACTGACATGTTTATTATTTTTAAGGTAATAATAATATATACATATATGTGTGTGTACATATACACACACACACACCCACACACATATACACACACATACATACTCATATATATTTGTAGTACTGGGAACTGAACTCAGGGGCATTTACCACTTAGCTACATCTTTAGCCCTTTTTATTTTTTTTTATTTTGAGACAGGGTCTTAATTGACTAGGCTGGCCTCAAACTTGAGACTGTTCTGCCTTAGCCTCCCAAGTAGCTGGGATTATAGGTATATGCTTCTGTGTCCAGTTGAATTACTAACATTTTTTTAAAAGTTAAAAAACATTTACCTAAAAAACTGTTGGAGATAGAAGGGAAGAGCTCTGAGGGTTAGGGAGAACCAACTTTACCTTTGACATCAGACCCTATTAGTTCATCTAAAGGCAATATGAACTAAGAATCCAATTCTTGCCATTTAAACATACAAAACCCAGAACATCAAATTAGATACAATGGGAAATATATGGTTCCAATTACTGGAATAATCACTTCTGATATCCAGGGCACCCTGCATGCCACTCCCCCTTCTAAGGTTTCTGGAAAGCCAGTTTAGTAATCATAAGTCAGCCTTAGCACAGAATGACAATAAATGGTGGTGGAAAGTCCTAAGAGTTGTGCCACCCTAGGTAATTCACCACAAGGCAATATTTACTAAACTAATTGCACTGGAACTAAACTGTGCCAAGCTCCACCCACAGATGTGTAATAATTACTTTAAAAATTCAAAGTTATATAAAAACTATATTTTTAAAAAGATAGCATAACTTTGCTGGCATGGTGATATCTGATGATAGTGTTTTTTGTTTTTGGCTTAGGCATTCTTAAATGTCTTATAAAGTGTTCCCAAGGGCTTCATAAGAGCAGTAGTTTGGTTCTGCACTGTCACAGAAGCCTCCTAGTGACCAGAATAACCATCTAAAGAAAGCCCCACTTCTCCCAGCAATACTGGCCTTTTATACCATTACCTCAGACTTAGCACGATTTAGCTCCAGATTGTTATCTTTCAATATACTATTACTACCTTAACATTTGGGAGGTATTTGAGCCTACAAGCAGCATCAAACCTCCATTTAGGGTCTTGGCTATCACTGTACTTTATATATGCCATGACTCTAAAAAAAGGTGGGAGATACTTTCTTAGAATATATTACTTCAACATATTGATTTTTTATTGGCTCCAGGATTGTCATTTCACAAGCTAGACCAGAGTGTTCTGTTGTTAATGTTTATCTTTTCCTAAAACATGACTTTCTTTCTCCACAAATTTTTCTAAGAACTATAATGCTATAGCTACAGCTAATTATGCTAAAATCTAGTATTTTATAACAGTATCTGTTATAATACCCCAAATAATATACTTAAACAGTATATTTTACCTAATATACTTTAAAAATTTTATTTATTTATTTTTGTTTTTATTTATTTTTATGTGGTGCTGAGGATCGAACCCAGGGCCTTGCAAGCTCGTTGGGTGAGCACTCTACCATTGAGCCACAACCTCAGCCCTACTTAATATACTTAAGTAAAACCTCAGCCCTACTTAATATACTTGAGGTATTTTATTTTCTTGAAACAAGATGAAAACATGAAAAAAAATTCTGAAAAATTTTTAAAATATTTATTTTTTAGCTGTAGTTGGACATAATATCTTTATTTTATTTATTTATTTTTACGTGGTACTGAGGACCGAACCCAGGGCCTGGCACATGCTAGGCGAGCGCTCTACCCAGCCCCATACAATTCTAAGACCTTTACAAAAGTCAAAGGCAGTAAATATAAAGTCATCTAATAACTTAAACATTTTCTCCCAAATAAAGTTGGTAGTCTTTATGTTAGGAACCACATTTGATACTGCATTCATTCAATCAACAGATGTTTATGGAGGGGTTACCAAGTAGTAAGTAGTGCTAAAATGATGAAAAGACTGAGATTTTGCCCTTAAAGAACTTATTCTATTCCAATCCTAAGACTAGGTACCCAGGATCATATAAACTAAAGCATGCTGGGCAAAATTAATAATCAGTCAGCAGTCTTAACAGAAACTTAATACATTTTTACCTTGATTCCTTTATTTTATTTTCATGGGAAACCATTAACCAGGAGGTGGTAGGGGGGAGGTTCCTCACAGCTTCCAGACTATGATATGAACTCATCCTGTTGAGCACAAAAGAGCCTCACTGATCTGGCATATCCTCCTCCCCCACTCTGCCTACCCAATGATTCATTCTTCCACTGTCACTTTGTCTGTGAAGCCTCCTTGAACTCTCTCCAGCTCTACTTCATCCCTAGGAAGAGTTAATTACTGCCTGCCTTGGCTTACCAAGGTATTACACTGTAATTATTTGTTCACTCATCACTCTCTCCGGCTAGCCTAGGAGCTCACTTTTTGAAGACACAGACTATACCTTCCTCCCTCTGCATCATGAGTATCCAGTTAGGTACTAAGAATAGAGATGGATGGAAGGAATGAAGTGAATCACAGAAACAGAGAATCAATACTCAATATCTGAAATAAATAGGTGCTTTCCCTG